ATCTAGTAAACGTAAGGCAAGATGTTAAGAGAGTAAAGTATGTTATAAAACATTGCCACTTTTTAAAGAAATTAGTTTTTCCAGAGCATCTAACCTTTTCCAACTTAAAAACATGCATGGTTTCCACAAGCTCTTGGGATGTAGTTGGAGGCTTTTTTGATTTCCAGTGAAGTAGAATATGATGCCTATCTAATAATGAGGTAAAGGCCAAAATATTAAGTTGTTTAGAATTAACCTGGACCAAATCTTTGGAACCCCAAAAATGGCAACATCAGGGGATGGATCTATATTTACCTGCAACACCTTAGACATAAACGTAAAATAATAAATACAGTAATTCTGTAACATAGGGCACATAAAGAACATATGATTTAAATGACCCCGTGGTGCTTTCACATCTGTCATCAATATTGGCACAACTTTAGTTTTTAATTTTAAGTTCATTAATTAAATTCATAGGTAAGTATTTAAATTTTAATATAAATATTCAAATACCTGGCATAAATTATGAATGTATGAATCTTCTATCTTTTATATGCTAAACTAGCAATTTTTTATATGGTGTGGACTCAAGTGCAAATACCAAAGTCAAGATAAAACAATAATTAAATTGTAAAGAAATTTTTTTAACAGTGCTCAAACTAAGTTGTTTTAGTGTGGCAAACCGATCAAAGGAAAAATCTATCACTTCCTTGGGATATTTTGTTCGTGTAAAAATATTACAGTACGCCTTCTGTGCATAGTTGTACATTTCTGGAGTTATGATTAGCTGTTTTTTGTTTTCGTTATTGTATTGTGTGTGTTTTTGTAGGTTTGTTTAGATGGCTATAGTGCTTTGCTTTAGCAAATACCCTTAAAATACACCCTAACAGCTGATAATGTGCATTTAGGTGTTATTTCTGCTTTGAATAAGTAGTTATAAGGGTTTTGCAGCTTGGGTAGCTTTAGAGTTCTTCATTTAGAGTAGTGAAAGGTTTTATTTTTGACTTGTGGCATAGCTGTTCAGAGCTAGTGTTGTATAAATGTAAATGTCAAAGAATTAAGGTTTTCTATTGCGATTTCTCTAAATCCAGCCTTCAGATCTCACTGAAATCCAGGTAATTTCTTGAAGGGAAATTCGTTTTCACCTTCATTTTTTGTTTTGATTTGTTGTCTGGCTTTATTGTGATATTTTTTTGTCTGCAACATTGTTTGTTTCTTAAAGGTTTGAAAAGAAAGCAGGCTCGCATATTCTTGAGAAATGTCAGTTAACGTGCTCCAGGGGAGTTGGTAATACTTGGAAATGAATGCTTTTCCTCATTCCTTTCAGGCTGAGAGTCCTTCCCGGATCCCAAGGCCTTCATCAGCTAAAGGACAGCGGCGGAAGCCCAAAACAGGAGGTCAAGGTACTGAACAAGGTACTGAGCTGAACTGACTTTGTTAATTATTGATATACAATGCATCTTGATCTGTTTAGTTGTTCCTGGTCTGAATGCTTAAAAACACAAACTCCGTCTGAATAGAATCTGATGTGAGGATGGAATTATTGTGGGATTATTTCAAATGTATGCACTGTGTATTTTAGCACGATGAAAAACATTTAAGATAAACGTCATTAGATGATGTTGTTTATCTTGAATGTTGATATGGATTGTGTATTTTTCTTTCAGACGAGACAGAGAGTGAAGGAGGTAAGTGTTGTTTTCTTCCGCACCTCTTACCAGACCACAAAACGAATTAATTGTTGCAACTTCAAGTAGCTTTAATATGTTTTTAAAAGCAGTGGAAGACAAACTAGTCATAATATCTGTGTAGGGCTGCATAATTTACCCTAAAACTACTGCTACTATTATTATTTTATACTATTATATTTAATACTAATACTATATTATTACTACTATAAATAGTTTTTTTAAATACAGTTTTTTTCTTCATTATATTATAGTTCACAGGTGTCAAAGCCAGTTTCTGGAGGGCTGCAGCTCTGCACAGTTTAGTTCCAACCCTGCTTCAACACACTTACCTGTAGGTTTCAAACAAGCCTGAAGGACTCAGTTAGTTTGATCAGTGTTTAATGAGGGTTAAAGCTAGACTGTGCAGAGCTGCGGGCCTCCAGGAACTGGATTTGACACCTATGTTATAGTGATAAAATTGTCTGCTATATTCACATATTTATTGTTTTGTGTTTTTTTTTTTATTTTTTTTATAAGATTTCAAAATTTACTACTGGATTCACCTCATAAAGTTTGTTACATAGTATTAGCATTTAGGCCCAATCCTAATTTTACTCCTTAGTCCTTCTCCTTACCCCTCGTTTTGCGGGTTCACGTGAAGGAGTTGGGGTGTCCAAATTCTCTTTATCTTGAAGGCGTAGGGCTAAGGGAAAGGGCTAGATAACACTCGAAAGAGAGATTTTTTCAGGGCCACACTCGAAGCGAAGGGGTAAGAAAATTTCCTAGAATACACCAGCCACACGACAGTATAGCTGCACACGGAAGTCAGGAGATGCACAAATTAGTATTTTTTTAATTCATTTTTACGAATTTTTATGACAAACACATATGTTTTAATACATTCATAACCGCGTTCGTGTTTTACCGTCATGCTTTAAAAAAAAACTGCTGAAATAAAAACCGCTAAATATTTCTAGCAAATCTAATAAATGTTGGAGACATACTTGTTACATAAACGCATTAAATCACACTTCTGCAGTGTTTATTGTGAGAGCGCACATGAAGATCTGCTCTAAAGCGGCGTATATTTGAGGGCGTGCAAGAAGTTTTGTGCACGAGCAGGAAATCAGTGCGCAAGCAAAGAGATTCGCATGCTCGTATTACATAATTGCGATCTCAACTTGTAATAATGCGCTCACAACATTTCTCCATTTGTCATTGGAATAACGCCATAGGCAGTTGGTAAATTTGTTTAAAAGGCCTGCTGCCACAGCTGGAAAAAATCCTAGAGGAAACACTGATTGAGATTAGGCCTTAATTTGCATTGGGCATTTAATGTTGTTATAAAAAACATTTAAAATGCTACTTTATATATTTATTTTCATAAAGTTAAATTGTTTTTGTAATTTATAATAAAAATACTTAATATAATATGATTTATATATATATATATATATATATATATATATATATATATATATATATATATATATATATATATATATATATATATATATTTTTTTTTTTAATATATATATTATATTTTTTGTATTTTAAAATTACACAAAACAAAAAATGAGTAAATATGGCTTATTAATTATGTAATATGAATTATTACTTGGGTAATAATTTCTTAAGTGAGTAAAACATATTTTCAAAAATAAAATTACACAGTGGTTTTCATGCGTAAAATAGATTAATAAATCAATTTTTAAAATTATTAGTATTTATTATACTTTTATCTTTTATCATTCATAAAACTGATATAAATGTAATAAACTGTATTTACAACTGTTAGATATACAGATTTTTGTAATACTTTTTTACATAAATAAATACAGATCATTTTGCCATGTATATAACCATTGTTGCTCATTTGCCATTTAGTTAAAAAGTAATTAAAATATAGATTTTTTTTTGGAAGCATAACCAATGACTCCTGTTAATAACATAGTAATTAAAGATAGTGTAATTGATATTCACTATTCATAATCTATAATGTTTTTAATAATGTGCCCAAACCATTATTTGACAATAAATGCATTTTTAAATAATGCTTTATTTTTAGTAATATAAGAACAATGCTTCTTTATAGTTACTTTTATTTATGCATTACCTGATCCGCCAAATTATATTTTGCTTTCGTCTGCATTTGATCGTCTGTGATCTGTTGTTGTCATAGGTTAGTATTTTTATGTATTGCATTTTATATATATTATTATTGTTTGTTTGCTTTTCATTCATTTTCCGTTCAGTTTAGTCCCTTTTATTTATCAGGGGTCACCACAGCGGAATGAACCGCCAACTTATCCAGCATATGTTTTTCACAGCGGATGCCCTTCTAGCTGAACCCCAGTTCTGGGAAGCATCCACACACACTCATTCCCACACATACACTACGGCCAACTTAGTTTATTTAATTAACCTAAAGCGCATGTCTTTGGACTGTGGGGGAAACCGGAGCACCCGGAGGAAAGCCACGCCAACATGGGAAGAACCACACAGAAATGCCAACTGATCCAGCTGGGACTCAAACCAGTGACCTTCTTGCTGTGAGGCGAAAGTGCTAACCACTGAGCCACCATGTCACCCCTGTATTATTATTGTATTGTTTCATTTCTAGCTTTTGTTGTAGTATTGTTGCAGTTTTTTTTAAATGCAGAAAGCACATAAATAAATGTTTTAAAAATACATATATGTTGAATTTTTTTCTTCCAGAAGCAGAAGCTCCTTCAGCAGAGAAACCAATTCCTCTTGAGAATGGGGACGTTACAGATTCTGCCACTCTGCAAACAACACTCAGGTTTTTTCCCCTCCCTTTCTTATTCCCTTTTTAATTGGTGCTAATGATCCTGTAAGTTTGTTGGTTTAAAAATAAGAAATGGAAGTTTCCATCCAACAACAACAGAAAAGTCGGGTGTGATAATGTGCTGAGGTATTTGTGGGTGGATGGAGTGTATCATGTATGTTCCCATGAGAGATTGTCTGGCAATGGAAGTCACTGATGCAAATCCCTCGCTTTTACTGCACCGCAAGATCAAACCACAAGATACCGCACTCTCATCCAGATCATTACTCTCCTTCTCAGGACTGTTTTTGTTAGCATTCAGCCATATAGGAACTTGCCATTCATTTCAACTCTCCACGCATTAAAAACTCTCATGCATGCTTTACAGAAAGTGCTTGTGTATTTGCGGTGTGAATGTGTTTATTCTTCTTTTGTTTGTTTATGTCAGTAGAAGATTACCACGGCCAAGCAGTGCTCGACCAGCAGCTCCTCGTGTGAAGAGACAAGAGAGCTACACTGATGCCACTCCAGCTGAGAGGTGAGAAATGGCACTAAGTTTCTCACTTTATATTAAAATCTGCGTGAACTGGAAGTTGCTGAGACTTTTGTTTCAGTATGTTGATATACTAAAATGGAAAATTGAATAGGAGGCAGGGCTTTCTATAATTTATGTATTATCTGCGCATTATTGTTTTGAAGTGACATTCTTGAATAAATTATAGCTTAAGAATTAATGCTAATATTAAGGCTTATACTTCTGCGTCAAGCTCACGCATGTGGTCACAAAGCCCTCGTCGATGCTGATGTGCACCTCTCAAAAAATGTAACTACACGTCGCAACAACTTGGTAGTGGTGACGAGCTTGGGTGGTATTGAGAGCCGTGAGCCCAATGGAGGGATTGTTTACAAGTGTGGAGTCTCATGAAGGAGCTCCAGATGAAAACTTTTGTTTTGTTTATGTTTAAAGTTGTTGCATGTCAGCCGGTTCCTACCTCTGAATGAGCGAGTTTGAGCTACTTGTACTTTAAGGTAGCGTTCAGAAAAAACAAAACACCCAGGAAGAAACTCAACACTGAGGAATATAAAAACGTACTGCCAGCTAGCATTTTGGATGTAAAAGTATAAATCCACAGCTATGTGAATGGCATTCGCCGTGAGTCACACCACTCACTCGACGCAGAAGTATAAACCAGGCTTTAGAAAGAAAAAAATGTACGTCAGGAAGACAAAAATTAAATGAACACCTTATAACAACTTATAAACTAGTTTTAAGGTAGCAGACAGATATTTTTTACAACACCAGATGCACAACATAGTAGAAAATCTGTCTGAGGCATTTTAACTAATTTGGATTAGATTTTCTTTTTATTTGTTTATTTTATTGTGTTATTAATGTTTTTATATTTATTTATTTATTTGGTGGACTAAAATATGAAAATAAACAAAGAATGACATCCTGTTTGTTCAAACTACTTATTTAAAATGAGTTGAAACTAAACAATTTAGCTTTTTTGGGACAACTTAATTGTTTTATGTTCAGTCTACTTAAATTAGTAAAATTGATTAAGTTAAACTTAGTAGATTTGTTTCAGGACAACATGAAGGAATAATGTGAAACCCAGCACTTTTTACACTGGTATAATATCTTTCTGATTCATTACAACTTATTATGAATGTATATTGTTTTAAGATTTATTTATTTATTTATTTTTACAATGCAATACAATAAAATATTTATTTATAATGCACATTTAAAAACAACCTAAGTTGACCAAATTATAATAATAACAATACATTTTATTGATGACGCGCTTTTCTTGAATTCAACGTGCTAAAAGATATATAATAGCAAATAAAAATGCAAAGAATTACAAGCTTGCATAAAATCCCAGTATGAAGCCAGAAGTCAAACCACAATAATAAAGCAATGAAGAACAATACATAACCAAAATGTTACAAGTTGCATAAAAGTGACAATGATAATCACAAATTAAATGCTTTGCTGAAAAGATGTGTCTTAAGAAGCTTCCTAGAACAGTCCAAAGAAAAGGCAATACTGATATTTGTGGGTAATCCATTCCGTAATTCAGGCACAAAGCAAGAAAAAGCTCTGCCTCATATGGTTTAGCAAACTGCTAAGTGGCCAAAAGTGTTCCAAAGTTTAGGACTAGCAAATGCAAATGCTCAATCGCTTTAATTTTTATAGTGTGTACTAGGCGCAGGTGGACACCTATTCATTGTACTAATCGCTGTCAATTTCACATTGTCATTTTATTTGCACTGTCTGTATTTTGCACTGTCGTTGTATTTGCACTGAGCCAGCAGCTAAGCTTTTCACTCATCATAGCACACGTGCTGCTGATGACGTGACAATAAAAGTGACTTGATTTGATTTTGATTTGATTTGATTGATTAGGGACGGTAGGTATATTGACACTGCCTTTTCTTCCTGATGTATAACTTAGTATAACTAATTCAACCTAATTCTTAAGATTTGAACCCAATGGGACTAAAATAAGATCTGTGACTCAACCGATTGTGAACACCTGAAATGGCTGAGTATACAAGCTTGATAATATGTTAAGAGATAATGAATCATTACACTGATGAAGGCTGATAGCTGAAACATTTTGAATTTGTTTTCTCCTGTTGTATTATTTAATATATTAACGTTAATAATTGAGCGTGAATCATCTTTGCTGCTTGTAATTTAAAGGAACTTTAGTCCTAGCACCAAACTCTGGAAAAGCACAGTGATTTATATTAGATTTAATTATACCTTATAAAAGCTGACAGTAAGCTGACTTGGAAAAAACAAGAACATTTTTTGCAAATCTGCTGTTAAAAGCTAGCTGTTGAAAACTAGCCTAGAGCAGCATCTGATGTTAAATACTATCCTAGAACAGCATCTGCTGTTAAATACTACCCTAGAGCAGCATCTGCTGTTAAATACTACCCTAGAGCAGCATCTGCTGTTAAATACTGGCCTAGAGCAGTGTTTCTAAACCATGTTCCTGGAGGACCACCAACACTACATGTTTTGGATTTCTCCTTTGTCTGTACAGGTCTTTCAGTCTCTGCAAATAAACTGATGATATGAATCAAGTTTGTTTGGCTAAGGAGACATGGAAAAAGTGCAGAGCTGGTGGTCCCCCAGGAATTTGGTTGAGAAACACTGCCCTAGAGCACCTTCTGCTGTTAAAATCTAGTCTAGAGCGCCATCTGCTGGTAATAACTAAGTTCACAATCAATTCCAAAGAGAATTGCGATTCATTACAAATATCTAAAAACATATCCATGGTGCACTATAGCTCAATTTATCATCTAATGCCTGTTATTTAAAAGATTAGAGGTGGTAATTTGTTTTTGAAATGTTTTGCTGAAAAGTAAGGGCGTTATATTTGGAGAGTTTGTTTTGGAACCCAGTGTGTTTTTGTCCTTTGGTTTATTTAGGCAAACATTAACACAGAAACCACATAATAGTATGACATGTTTTACGTCAAAAGAAGCAGTGTTTTATTCGTGAATGCGCTCATTTGTTATCACAGTTTAAGGTCAGGATTTGCAAGAATACTTTCCCAACAAAGCCTGGATTCCTGCATAAACTGTTACTTAAAGTTTATTATAAAAATAGTATTAAATATATAGATTTTAATCCAAAAATTCAATATATCCCTATTTCAGAACAAAGCAAATGATCTACATGTCTGAAAATGCTCTTACTGAGTCTAAAATGTTTGGCACATGGCACATTAGAAGGAATCAGTTAGTAATGAACTTTATTAAAAATAATTTACCTTTCTCAGGCTTGGCAGTGGCAAGACCCCTGCATCCGTCATTCTGGATGGCAAGAAGCTCTCTGAAGATGAGGATGATGAAGATGGGCAGTTTGTGGTGGAGGAGGCAGCTCCACCTCCATCTGATGTACCTGAAGTGGAGGTATTGTAGTTGCACTATGATGCATATACAGTATAGTATTTGGATAAAGATCTGTATGAAATCACAATTTCTCTATTTTGTCATTACAGAGTAATTCACTTGAGTTGCAAGGCGATGACAAACATGGTGAGTCATGAATACAAGAAAACACACACAAACCTCTGTGTCATTTGGAATTTTTGAAATTATTATTAAGAATTTCACAGTTTTAGCTTTTGAGAGATGCTTTTTTTTTTAAGTACAGTAATACTAATAAAAATAGGCTGCATTTACACTGCATGGTTCAAATTTCGATTTTATTCCTCCCATGTGGCACAGATGGGATATGGCCCATGTACGTGTAAGCAGGAAAAAGTCACATGGATTCCGATTCACACTAATTTAGATTCAGACTTTGTTCATATGGGGAAATTTATCCGATATGAACCGAATCTTTGCCCTCGTGTCTGCAGTGTAAACAGGTAGATCGGATTTTCACCTGTCAATGCGAGTCGCACATCATTAAAACCGTAGCGAATGAAATCAAATCTGACAATTTCACACCAAAATGGTGAAATCTAGAGCTGTTACTGGGCACTACTATTGCAATGGAACGTTCTATTGAGTGTCGCCTCTTGGTCATTCTAAGCTCTTTGCTATCGCATATTAGTCTCTTTTAAAAGATGATGTAAGCAGGTTGTCAAAAAAATTGGAACTGACCCTCAAGATCTGCAGCGAATGCAGAATGCAGCCTTAGATTATGAAAAGAGTAACTGCCATTATATTTTTGTGCAAAATAGTTGGGGATTATGAGTTTATATGTAGACTCTAGGGATGCTCCGATCAGGATTTTTGCAGCCGATACCGAGTACCAATTCCTTGTCATGGTGATCGGCTGATACCAAGTACCGATCGATCAGAGCATCCCTATTTATTATAGTAACTTTTTTTTAAAAGGGTATACTTGGGATGCTCTGATCGTTCGGCCAGAGATTGTTATCGGCAGATAATCACATTTCATGAGTCGATGGGTACTCACTAATCTGGCCGGTCTAAGGAACTGATCACAATTGTTTGTTTACGAGTTAGAGCATCCTTATTTATAATAGTAACTTTTTTTAAAGAGTATACTAGGGATGCTCCGATCGATTGGCCAGAGATTGGTATCGGCCGATAATCACCTTTCATGACTCAATCGGTACTCGCTAATCTGGCCGATCTCATGAGCCGATCACAATTGTTTGTTTACGAGTCGGAGCATCCTTATTTATAATAGTAACTTTTTTAATAGAGAATTGCTCCGATCGATTGACCATAAATCAGTATCGGCCGATAATCACCTTTAATGACTCAATCAGTACTCGCTAATCTAATGTCATGAACCGATCACAATTGTTTGTTTACGAGTTTACAAGCAGACGACATACAAGAACTAAAATCATTTTGCATATCAGAACTGAAAGTTTGGCGGCGCAGTGGCGCATTATGTAGTGCTGTCGGCTCACGGCAAGAAGGTCGCTGGTTCGAGCCCTGGCTGGGTCAGTTGGCATTTCTGTGTGGACTTTGCATGTTCTCCCTGTGTTTCGTGTGGGTTTCCTCTAGGTGCTCCGGTTTCCTCCACAGTCCAAAAACATGTGGTACAGGTGAATTGGGTAGGCTAAATTGTCCGTTGTGTATGAGTGTGTATGGATGTTTCCCAGAGATGGGTTGCAGCTGGAAGGGCATCTGCTGCGTAAAAACAAATGCTGGATAAGTTGGCGTTTCATTCCGCTGTGGGACTAAGCCGAAAAGTAAATGAATGAATGAATGAATGAATGAATGAATGAATGAATGAATGAACTGAAAGTTCCCTGTTTTCAACAATATTGCAAGTTCATTAAAACCTGACTGGAAAAAATTGGGATATTTAAAAAAAATGAACTTGAATATTTAATAACTTATTGTAATATATTTATTGCAGTAAACAGCAGTTTATGGAACTATTTCTCTTTAGTAAAGAAGTAATGAACTTATTGGTGTGTATTTTAACCTCTTATGCATCAAATATGCACTCCAAACTTCATTGAGACAATTTGTGTTTCATCATTTGCAGTGTTTCCAAATTGCTTTGTTAGTGATTTTTCTTACCATTTTTTGTATGTGGGGAGGTATTGAGGAATTAGATGCAACATCTTTAGTTTATTCTTTTGGGTAAGGAGAGATCTCCACTTAAAAATCCTCTTAATTATATTAATTTAGATTATAGATTCTAGTTATATATATAAATTATTAGTATTTAGAAATATGTAAGTAAATATAATTTACACTAAAAAAGGACAGGAATAAAACAAGGTCACATGAGTAAAATTACCTCTGGCTACATATGAACACACTAATCATAAAACAATGTTACAAATTAAGTCTTCAAAACACACTAGTTTAAAAATAGGTGATAAAAATACTTACTGGTTTTCATTTGGTTATAGGTGGACTTGTGAAAAAAATCTTGGAGACAAAGAAAGACTATGAATCATCTCCATCCTCCAAGTCAAAAGAGCAGGTAAGACATTTCACCTCACTACCACTAGATGGCAGTCCCGTTCCAATTTACATGGCACAAGTTTTGTTTTTCCTCAACCAAATTCCAGTAACGTGAGTAAATGCATTTCAAAATCTCTTCATCAAGGGAATCAGCATTTTATTTAAGCATTTTGTGTGTGCTGTAAACAGTACCTCAGGGATGTGTCCGTCTCCCTTTTCATTTCCAAAGCCTGACCCAGTGCAGCATAGGTTTACTAAAGAAAGCAACTTTGCAAATGGACTGGAGAAATGTAATAGTGGTCCCTCAGAGCCATTGAAGTGTTTTTCTGTTCAGCGGAGCTTAAATAATTAGAGCAAAACAAGCATGATGGCACCGTACATACCGTTTAGATATTTGTACGTTTCTGTGGTTAACATTGTTTACAATTGTGGCTTGTTTTGTGTGAGTCTGTGGGTGTGTGGTCCCCGGATTTCACTATTTATAGGGACACTTTTTTTGGTCCCCATGAGGAAAATAGCAAATTAATTTGTTTATTTTAAGTCTCTGAATTAGAAATTGGAAAGTCTTGAATATACTGGTGGCTTTTTATAATAAGCTTGCTTTTAAATTATTTTAGATCTAAAAGTGGATTTTTGTCTCAAGTGTACTTTGGACAATGATTATGAAACATACATATTTATCAAATCTGGGCGAAGCAGCGGCACAGTAGGTAGTGCTGTCGCCTCACAGCAAGAAGGTCGCTGGTTCGAACCTCGGCTCAGTTGGCATTTCTCTGAGGAGTTTGCATGTTCTCCCGTGTTTGCTTGGGTTTCCTCTAGGTGCTCCGGTTTCCCCCACAGTCCAAAGACATGCTGCAGGTGAGGTTTGAGGGTGACAGGCCCAGACGACAGGAAAAGTGTAAAAAATTTGTAATCATATGAACAAGTCTAAAATGGCTTGTTCCAAAGAGCCGACCCCGCAACCATATGGGACTAAGGCCAAAGAAGAAGAAGAAGATAATTATCAAATCAGTATAGTTGATTATTAGTATTGCATTTAATCTACCAGAAAAGCAATGAACAATTGAAATGTCTATTTCATGGACAGCAACTTTTTTAGTGTATCTCTGGGCATAAATCTGTTAAATGATTTTTCAGAACTGTTGGAATATGTTAGATCACACTCTTTATGCCAGATAAATAAGATCTAGCCCCAAATGCCAGATCCTGTCGGAAAATTCAATTCAATTCATGTTTATTTCTATAGTGCTTTTACCATTTAAATTGTCAAAGAAGCTTAACATAGAAGTTCTAGTAAATTGAAACTGTGTCAGTTCAGTTTTCACAGTTTAAGTTCAGATTAGTTCAGTTCAGTGTGGTTTAAATTTTACTGCTGAAAGTCCAAACATGGAAGAGCAAATCCATCGATGCGCAGTTTCACAAGTCTCAAACCAAGCAAGCCAGTGGCGAGGAACAAAACATCACCAATTGACAAAAGTGAAGGATAAAAAACTTTGAGAGAAACCAGGCTCATTTGGGCACAGCCATTTCTCCTCTGCCCAAACTTCCTATGCAGAGCTGCAGTCTAGGCGCAGGAGGCTGGATGTCCACCATGGAGAAACTGTAGGTGTAAATAGGTCACAGGCGGTTGTTCAGGCTGGTCCATGGGATGAATGCGTAGACTCGTCTGTCATTGTTGTTTTGTAGGAATCAGTCTCATTCTCTTCGCTCCTCCAAAAATGTCTGTTTCTCTGGGTATCCAAACAACAAGTCATCGAGCTGCTCAATACCCAAAAACTGTTAACCACACTGTAAAAAAAATTCCGTTGTTTTTACAAAAAAAATTTGGCAGCTGTGGTTGCCAGAATAATTTTGTAAAAAATACAATAAAAATGTAAACCAGTTTACAATTTAAAACTGTATGTGTACGGAATAATTATGTAAAAAACAATTTAAAAATTTGTAAAATTTACAGAAATTTTGTGTAAGAATAAATAACATTTTTAGTATTTAAACAAAAAAATCTTGTTATTTTTACAAAAAATATTTGGCAGCTGTGGTTGCCAGAATAATTTTGTAAAAATTACAATAAAAATGTAAACCTGTTTACAATTTAAAACTGTATATGTACAAAATAATTATGTAAAAAACAAATTAATATTATGTAAAATTTACAAAAATTTTGTGTAAGAAATACTTAAATTTTTAGTATTTAAACAAAAAATCTTGTTGTTTTTACAAAAATATTTTGGCAGCTGTGGTTGCCAGAATAATTTTGTAAAAATTACAATAAAAATGTAAACCTGTTTACAATTTAAAACTGTTGAACATAAAGAACAATTACGTGAAAAAACAAAACAATATATTTACTAATTAATACTATTTATTAAAATTAATAATTACATTAATATCTAAAAAAAATCTGGCAGCTGTGGATGCCACAATAATTATGTAACGAAAATACATTTTAAAATGTAAACAACTTAACAGCATAAGATCATCACTTTAGTCAATTGTGTTTATTTATAATATTTTAAGAAGACCAATGTTGTTTCGTATAATGAACATAGTTTAATTTCAGTAGCAACTGTAAATCATTTGCTTTACCCTTGACCATGCATGAAAACGATAACTTGTATGTTACACAGTACCTAGGGATATAAATTCTAGATATGCATAGATCATAGAAACTGCACTCAAAGACAAAGTAATCCAACTATAATTTGTATTTATTAACCATAAACAAGTCAACACTGTCTGTCAGTTTGCAACACAAATTTCTATTACTTTCCTTACAAACGATACATTCACCTTTTAGAGAGCATGTGACAGTTTAATAATTGTCTTCTTGAAAACAAATAAGGAAAGTTATAGGCAAAGAGATGGGAGACATTGCCAGTAAAACTAAAATTGAAATGCCAATAAAATGAAAGACTTTTTAGTAACACTTTATAATAACTACACACTATGAACCATTTATTAAGCATTAGCAAATAGTGAATTCATTAACTGTTAAGCATTAACTCTACAATGATAAACGTTAGGAAGCAGTTTATATATATATACGGCTACAAATACTGTTTTCTTGACTTATAAGCACACTAATATGTGCTTAATAACTGTATTTTCATCATGTGTGGGTGATTGATTTTTCATGACTAAATTAAGTATTGCATTATTTACAAACCATTTGTATGAGTAATTGGTGATATTTAAGATCATTGAGAATGAGTTAGTAAATAATTAATAAACTATTGAAATCAATATTTATATATTGTATTATTCAGGCATGTAGTAATGGTTACTATGTATGTTAATAAATGCTTTACTGACTCAACTTAATGCAGTTTTGTAACCTAACCTAAAGTGAGGACTATTTATGCTTATAAATCCCTTATAAATGATAATTAAAGGCTCATTATCAAATGAACTACACATCCTTGCAATCTTATTTTAAAAATTTAATTACTGTAAAGTTTAAACATTGCCGAATAACAGGAGTGTCAAAATTTAACATAAAATTGGATTAAAAAACAATATAATTTAACAATATAATAGGATGCAACATTTCAATGTTATGTAGCAATGTTTAAACTCTACAGTAATTTTATTTTACACAAGATTGCAAAGATTTATTTTCATTTGATACAGTTTCATTTGTGTTTCTTCAAATTAATAAAAAAAAATCCTGTTTAGAATTTAACTGAGCCTTGTCATTTATAAGGGATTTATAAAGCATAAATAGTCCTCACTTTAGATTAGGTCACAAAACTGCATGAAGTTGAGTTAATAAAGCATTTATTAACATACAAATTAACTATTAGTATATGCCTGAATAATAATATTTATAAATGTTTATTTAAATAGTTAATTAATCATTAACTTACGCATTCTGAATGATCTTAAAAAACCACCAACTACTCTTAAATAACTGCTTTGTAAATAATGCGATACTCAATTTAGTCATGAAAAATGAATCATGAACAAAGTATGAAAATACAGTTATTAAGCACATTACACATGCTTTTAAGTCAAGAATACAACATTTTTAGCCATTATTATAAACTGTCTACTAATGTTTATTAATGTAGAGTTAATGCTCAACAGTAAATTAATCCATTATATTTATTAATGCTTAATAAATGGTTCATAGTGTGTAGTTATTATAAAGTGCTACCAACTTTTCTCTTAAATCGGGTTAAGAACATTTAACAATTGTTTTATAAACAAATATTCAATACAAACCAACAATTCAGGAATAACTTAATTCAGAAAACACTAGAGCAATAAAAACTCTAACAGTTGTGTAATAACACATACATTAAGCATGGCAGATCAAACAAACCTGAGAAACTGGCATTCACTGTATGTCCAAACCTGACTGACTTCAGTCCGTATTTAGACATCACGCCATTCATGATCGGAAAGTTCCTGAATCAAGGTAAGAACTCTTGGGTTCACATGAAGACGGGCTGTGTTTGTCTTCTCCACTTTAGTGCCTTTCTCTGGGTTGATAGAGAAGAAACACCTGAGCAAAAAAGAGAAAAAAATGAATTGTATTAATGATAAAAAAATCTTATGTTTTTGGGAAAATCTTCTTTTTTTGGGAAAAATACCTTTTTAATTGAAATTATAATTTTAATTATAATTAATATAATAGAAATTTGTCAACCTGTACATATAAACCAGGAAAAAGAAAACCTTGCATTAGCAATTTAGGTCACTTCAATGTTGTATAAAGCCTGTACAAAAACACATACCTCTGCAAAAACTCCAAGGTTGATGCCAGCTCTGATGGGTAATGGATGTTGAAGCAATAATAGCTCCCAAACATCATGCACAGGGCGGAAATGAAGGAGGGGATGTTGTCATGTACAACAGTTCGATCCACACACAGCATGAAACGCTTCGATGAAAAGCAGGATTGGCCTTAGAAAAAAGTTAAATAAAAGTTAAATTTGGTATTTAATTATAATACCATAAAAGTAAAAAATACAAACAAATTAAAAAAACCTTTACAAGATTTATTTGTTACAAATATTTCAAATGAATGTACAATTAACAATACTTGAACAATGCTGAACGGTCTATTAAACGTTATCATGACATTCTTTGATCTTGAAATACATAATAATGTGAGTAACAACAAATAATAAATGCCATATAAGTACTGTTGTACGTTCATGATTACTAATGGTAACAAATTTATTGTTATTGTAAAGTATGAAGCTAATAATATACGAAAACAATCTGAATTTGAATTGTGTTCATTTAAATTATTTGCTATTGTAATTTAATAAATCTAAATTTTTATATGCCGTAAAAAAAAAAATTGAATTTGAATTTCTTAACTTGAATATTGAACATCTGAAATTTAAGACAACTGAATTTTTTTATAGACGTATTTTCATAGACTGCAGGTATCCAGTTTGTGAAAGTAGTTTCAAGTCAGGATAAAGAAATTCCAAATATCATATTCAATATTATAAAATTTTAAACCAGAAATTCAGATTGTGAAATTCAGATTCAGCAGAAAGTAGGTGAGGGGTCATCAACGGAAGAGTAGACGATCACTGAAAAGTCAAACTAGGAATCATTCACCACGAGGGTGGGGGTTTGGGGGGTCTGGAAATAGGTCAAAATAAATGTTATTTGTCGACATATAGCCTAATGTAAAATTAAACTCATGTATTTTAGCTTTAAGTATGGGGAAGGATGCTTTCAGTTTCGGGTTACATAAAAAAAACGTTGAAAACTCATCAAGTGGCTTTCACTGTACACTTTTCACAACAATATAGACTTATTAACACCTCATGTTACCATTTGAACAAAAAGTTTTAAGCACTTAACAAATGAGGCTAACAAAAATCTCTGAGCAAGTAATTCACAATGAGTCACTTAATTCATTTATAAATAAGCCGAATCGAACACCTCTGAATGAACAATTCAGTGACAAAGATAGAGGTTTGGTGCCACCTGTTGGACATTTTGGTTTCAATGTATTTTAGCCAAAAATAATGCGATATTTTTAAATATATGGAAAATCTGATAATTTAAATAAATATAAATGTAAGGATAAATATGACATCTTGGATGTGAATAGATGATTTTTAAAAGAGGCAGCATTTCAGTGTTGATGATAGACTTTGGCCAAACATTAAAATCTTCCTTAAAATACTATACTATATACTATATAGTAAAAAGCATGTGCATGCAAATATGTCATTTACCACAGCTGTAAAACGCAGGGAGTTTGAAAATGCAGGCAAAAATGAAAAAATAAAATTTATTAAACAACGAGATGTAATTGAATTAAGTATATGAATTTGGTTCACTGAAGCATGTATATATTTATTACACAAACTAGTGAAAATAGCTGACCCTGATAGTCAGTTTGCAGAAGAATTGTGTCCTCCTGAGCCTCACATACACCAGGCTGTAAACTCACGCAGCTCTGTAAATGAGCTTTAACTTTTTGGTGATCGTCTACTCTTTCCTGTCGATGACCCCTGACCTTATTTCTGCTGAATCTGAATTTCACAATCTAAAATTCTGGTTTTGAGTTTTATATTACTGAGTTTGATGTTCTGAATTTATTTATCCTGAAAACTTGATACTGTACTTTTATAAACTGGATATCTGCAGTCTATGAAAATACGTCTATAAAAAATTTCTGCCTTGAAAATTACAGTTGTCTTAAATTTTAGATGTTCAATATTCAAGTTAAGAAATTCAAATTCAAAAAATTAATTCAAATTCAAAATTTAACGGCATATAAAAATTCTGATTTATTAAATTACAATTGTCAATAATTCAAACAAAAAAATGCAGATTTTTTGTCATATTTTAGCTCCATAGTCAAGCATTAAAAAAAAAATTATAGCAAAGAAACAAACAAATAAACTTACCACACACAACAAGTGTTGGGGTCAAATTAACTTTGTCCATCTCTACCTCTTCTGCGAGGCATGTGTCCTCCACATGACAGAACATAGCATCTTCCTTCTCATTGAAGTAGGAAAGCAAAAGCATCAACATCTCTTTCACATCTTCAGAGCAACCACTTAGCTCTCCCCTCATCACTTTAAACTTTGTTAAGTCCTGCAGGAACTTTTTGTTTTTGTTCACACCAACTGTACTGAAGTAGTTTAGGAGTCGTTTCCCCTTCAAGTCCAGATTCCGGGTGAAAGTTTCATTAAGACCAATTCCGGTAAGCTCCTTGTAGTGAACTGCCATGCCAAGCTCATTAAACCACCATGGCCAATCCTCCAGGAGACATTTTATATTCTTGCCCTGATTTACTTGGTTACGTTGTGTGTAGAAAGTCAATTTCATTAGATGTCTGACTTCTTCTGCATCTGCATCAGTTTGACGAGACATTATCTTCATTTTCTCTTTCTTTTCCTCCTGGCTTTCAGAGGTCTCTCCCAGTGGCAGGAATTTTACATGCCAGTTAATGCATCCATATGTATCCTGAATTGCTGCCCTCTTTTCTGGAGGAATTTCATCCGTGTCAGAGTCATCAGTCTGATGTCTTCGTTTTCTTATTTTGGGTGTTGTAGATCGCTTCACATTTTCAATCCTATACTGCAATTGCTTCACTAAAGAATGGTACCCTGGCCCAACCACATCCCCCTCTATTACATCCAGGAGAGACTCTGGATACTTTGCTACCATCTTTTTGGCAACTTCAGTAGAATTCCTTTTATTTGGGCATGAACATTTTCGCATCATCTCGTTTACCACAATCCGGACCATCTCTCTTCTCATTCGTGGACTTGGTCGTTTTCCTCTCTCCAAAAATTGCATTAGTTCCTGAGGAAATTTATCCCATGGTATCAGAAACGTATCCACCCAGTCTACATCTGGGCTTTGGGAGATACTGGTGGAGGATGATTGAGAACTTGCAGGTGAACTATGCAAGGCTGTGGAAGGTTGTGGTGAGCTGCTTGTTTCTGGTGTCTGGCCTGCAAAAGGTCATACACAAACAATAGTCATTAACACAAAGTTTTTTTTATTTTATTTACATTTTCTTTTCAAGACCTTTTTACACATGTAACTTTGTGAACTTGTCTTGGAGTATTCTGTTCTGCAACACATGACTTACATCTTAACTTCCAAGCAGCAAGGACTTTTCGAGCTTGGATTGGCCTTAATGCCGTTAGCAAATCAGATTCCTCAATAAACTTAAAATCATCATATGTCTCCACTCCAATGGATTGCAATGTCTCCTCTAAAATGTCTTTTGTTGCCTCTGGAAGGTTAGGCAAGACCTCAGTGATGGCAGTACGTAGAAATGTTGTCTCCAAGTCAGTCATTACTGAAATCAATCAAGTAGTGATTAAACATGTAGTTATTAAATTTATTAAGAGTTTATTTCTGTTCATCCAATTGCAAATAAAACAAAAATCTTACTATTTTCAAAAGGATAGATCACAACATTTTTTAATTTAAAATCTATAATTTATTTATCCTTGACATATTTTATACCAGTTTGAGTTTTTTTGAGACAACATTTAAAAGAATGTTGGAAACTTGTAACCATAGACTTCCATAGTAGGAAAAAATACTATAGAAGTCAACAGTTAAATTATCATCTTGAGAAAAAAAATAAACAAATCCCAAACAGGATTGAAAAAAAAAGTCAAGGGTAAGTAAATGATATCAACATTTTTTATTTTTGGAAAAACTATCTCTTTAAACTACATGTTATTTTATCTAAGCATACATGATGATTTTTAGTATATTTTTTTCACTTCTGTGGACAAGATCTCTTTACTTCGACAGCACGCTGTGTTTCAGCGTAATGACTTGGTACCCATTAACAATTTATAATGTTAAATAAAAATCAACCAAGTCATTTATGCTAAGACACTGTAGCCTGGTACTCTGTTTAGTCAGAATACAGATGGTATTCAAAATGATATTCAGCTTTTTGTATTCCCATTACAAAAAACACAGCTTCGTCATTTTGGATTAAAATGATGAGAAGTTGAACTCATCACTTTTAGACACAAGAAAATGTCCCTTTTTGTATGACATTCCTTTATAGATTATTTCTGTGGACACAGTAGTATTAAAGTCTGAAAAGTTAAATTCTCTCACTGTATGTTTAATTGATTCACTGTAAAGACTTGGGTAAAAAGTGTAACTGTCTTTGACATGCAACAGAAAACAGAGTTTACCTTTATTTCTTTGATGTCTTGACTGTCTTAAGATCGTAAATCATGAACAGCAGAATCATAAGTTTCACGGGTGCGCTGTGGACCACAAACATTTGGGTTATCACTCTGAAATTCATTTCTTGTTATTTCACAATACCTGCAAAAATACTGAGCACAATACTGAAATTTTCAGTAAACCCACCAATGGCATGTGAACGCAAATTATCACCACCAGCAATACAATACAGTGCACCTTTAACTACGTTACCACCTACAGCTATTCCATTTTCCTCCAAATCTTTTAAATCCACAAACAGCTCTATTCAGTATAATTCAGTAGTTTCAGGTGTTGTTACATCATTTGAAACAACACATTCATGACAGTGGACGACTGAGAAACAGTTTTCCTGTAAATGTCACTTACAGTATTATTTGAGGCAGCTCTATGCTTCCTGGACATGTGAGATGTGAAAGACGATTTAATTGTAAAAGTATTTTTGCAACCCGTTACTGGAAAAGCCACAGGTCGGCCTTCTGCTATATGCTCTTTTAAGTGGCATTAAATCTTCAGCCGTGTTAAACGTGAGGTCACACAACGAAATTTAGAAATTTAAAATCTGCAACTGCTTTAGCACTAACGGTTGATGCAGACTCATTGTGAAATGTGCTTTAAATGCAGCGTAAGAGCAAAATGTTCGCTTACAGCCAGCACTAACATATTTGAAAAATCAATAGGAGTTCGTTTCTATGAACTTTACAATGCAACACATAGCCTCTCAGTGTCTCGAAGGTTTTGTTGCAAAAATTACACGTGGTTAATCATCTTTAGACTTCGAACAAAAAATGTTTTTTTTCAGCTTTACGTTAGTTAGACGATAAGACAAGGAGCCGAGTTACCTTTGCATTGTGCCACTCATTATTATTTCGACGACCGTGCAACACCCCAAATAATATCCTCTCCCTTTTTGCAGGTGCTTGTATGATAAAGCGTTTAAAGTACAAAGTAAACGAACTTTTCACTAAACTTACCACAGTGCCTCAGTAGTTAGAAATGTTGGCAGACGTCATCCACAGCTTCATTCGCGGGCCGGACAGATGGAGCGCGCGCACTCACTATAAACGTCTGTAAAATGGCTGCTCCCGCAAGAATCAGATAGCCGATTAGTCATTGGACAAGGCAGAACAGAGTTTGAAATTCAAACGCAGACGTTAATTTACACAAAAGCATACATTTGAACTATAAACACATCGCTGTCACATTTTAAATAACAACAAGACATTTATATTTTATTAATTAAATTATTGTTTAAAAAAAATAATTAAAAAATTATATATATATATATATATATATATATATATATATATATATATATATATATATATATATATATATATATATATGTTGTTAAATACAGTGGATTAACAATTACATTTTACATAGTGTTCAAAAATAAAGGACCCTTAGGGACAAATAACCATTATCTTTCCATAGGCCAACATTAAATATGATAATTATCAATAAAGCCTAATATTAAAATAGCTTATATACTATTAGGACAATTCTGAACAGACACATTGCCTTTAAAACCCATCATTTAAAACTTGTAAATATGTAATGATATATGTAAGGAAAACATGATTTGGTTATTTTGTGATTGTTATACTTGTGTACACATGCTTTTTTTAATCTGTAATAGGATGATTTTAGTTTGTTTAGTATCAATTTGTAATTTTTACAGCAGCTTTCAGTATTACATGTTTGCACTATTCAAATAACAGTGATCAGTAAATTTTACAAATAAACATTGTTATTGATACACATTCTTACAGTACAATTAACAGTTTAATTTGGTTCAACGTTTTACAACTGTATTTTTATTTTTTACAAAACCATACTGTAAATTTAACACTGTTTCATTGTTTTTCTATTTACAAAATTTAGATGTCACAATTTTACAGAATTTCACAGTTATTTTCACAAACATTTTTTACAGTGCAGTATTCAACTGATTTAACAATATCCTATCAATATAGGAGTTGACTGAGAAAGCCAGAGAATGATGATAAAGAGAGAGCAGAGTTTATTGAATAATCTTAGTTGCATATGATTCAATGCTCAGACTTCATATGACCAAGATAAATCTAACAAGTGTTATTATTCCACAAGCAACAGCAATAAAAAATCATTGCTTCACAACATTGTCCAGAGACAATACAGAGCTTGAAATGGAGACATTCTCTTATCTCTTACTCTTGAAAACAAGTGTTGTTTGAATCCGCACAGACATAAGATTATAACAATATGAAAAAAGGAAATAATAAAAAAAGCAATAATTAACGATAAAAACATGATAAAATGATTAGGCTTCTATTTCTTGCAGCTGAACAACAGAAAATTATGACAATGATCACCTCAGGTACACCTTATGTGCTTTATTGACTGTTAAAGCGAATGATGTGAGTTTGAATGCCATTTTGACAAATGACATGACATGTATTGCCATGCTACTAAAAACAGCAGCAGATAGTTCACCTTATATGTTGAAAATAAAATAAACCGTTTGAAATTAAACTTTAGAACTGTGACTCAAAACCAACACAGTGATTTATTGAGCATGTACATTTAATAATGTTAAAGAGGTTTAATATGTATTAATTAGATTATAAACCTTACCATTTCGCTAGAGTGAGTTAATATTCTTGATTCATCTGGGGCAAAAAGCCAAATCGCTTATCACTGCAAATCTAGTCACGTAGCATGTTGTTAGGATACGGGGTTACAGTGTAACCTGCTAACCTAATGTTTATGTTCGTAATATTTATATTATTTGCTAATTAATAACCACCTCATGTGGAACTCTGAATCTGCATCTCATTTCGTAGTCTGTTACTGTCCACCAGAGGTAGCATTTCAGTCACAGACACTTGATTCAAGAGCCTTTTTGAATGAAAAAATGAATGAATGAAATGCGCTATTTTCCACAAAGGCAACCCGGGTTCTAATATTTAACTGGCTAATCGAAAATATTATATGTATATATATATATATATATATATATATATATATATATATATATATATATATATATATATATATATATATATATATATATAAATATGTGTGTGTGTCTATATATGTATATATGTATATATGTATATATGTATATATATATATATATATATATATATATATATATATATATATATATATATATATGTGTGTGTGTGTGTGTGTGTGTGTGTGTGTGTGTGTGTGTGTGTGTGTGTGTGTGTGTGTATATATATATATATATATATGTGTGTGTGTGTACACATATATATATATATATATATATATATATATATATATACACACACACATATATATAATAAAATGATAAACAATAATCAATAATAATCAAATCATTAAATAATAATCAATAAAATTATATAATGATAATTATGTAATCATCTATGATTAAATAAAATAATTAAATGAAAAATAATTGAATGTGAAAGTAAAACACAACACAAATCAATGGTTGCTTTCTTAAAACAACACACACATAAGTTTGCTAGAAAGATTCTCAGATCCTTAGTTAGATCCTTAGTTAAATTCTTTAAATATGATTATCAAGGGGCACCCTATTTGTTCCCATGCTTTGAGCTCTTTGGGATCCAGGAATGTTTTTAACAGTGTGACTTCACTCTTACAATCTATGTCCTGCACTGGGTGGTCCACTTGACCCGGACTGTTCTTCTTTCTGTCTGTCCGTCACTGACTGCAGGCCTGATGAGTGCAGTGTTTAGTGTTGGCCTTCAGGCATAACATTCACTCTTGCAGCTCAATGTTCCAGCTGAGTCACAAGCTCAAAGTGCATGCTGTCAGTAGGGAGGAATAAGAATGAGAATCATAAGGATTTGTTATTATTATTATTTTTTTTTACCTCAGTTTAAGTCACTTTAAGAGAATGAATATATTTTTTATTTGTCTGCTAGAACTTAATTCTATTTCAAACAAAAGCTGCTACTTTGAACTTTTCTTTAACAAAATAAAAAGAAAATGTTCCATAAAAATATTTAGCTGCACTACTGTGATAATAATAAGTAATGTTTTCTAAGCAGCAAATGTGGAGAATGAAGTAAAGGTTTTTCACATTGTCTTTTTAAAAAATATTAAAGACACTTATTTTAAATGATATTTTTGAATAAATAAATGCAAGCTTTTATAAGCATAAAAAACGTATTAAATTATTAAAAAAATCTTATTGGTCTCAAGCTTTTTATTTATATATATACTAAGCATATATAGCAGGGGTGGCCAACCCTGTTCCTGGAGAGTCACCTTCCTGCAGATTTCAGTTGCTACCCATTTCAAACACACCTGAACCAATTAATTAGGACCTGAACACCACGTGATAACTACAGGCAGGTGTGTTTGATATGGGTTGCAACTGAAATCTGCAGGAAGGTGGCTCTCCAGGAACAGGGCTGGCCACCCCTGGTATATAGTAAATGAAAAATTCTAAATGATATGTTTTTGATGATATAGTGAAATTATATGATATAATATATATATATATATATATATATATATATATATATATATATATATATATTTTTTTTTTTTTTTTTTTTATTCTACTCCTATTAAAGTGAATAAAGACTGTCAAGCAAGTTTGATGTCAAACATAGTTTGGCACACTTTTGGAGCTCTCATTACCATTTACATGGTACATTTTCCTGTTTTGTGGAAGATAGAGGCCTGAAATTTTGTCCAACTGAGTCAATGATCACAAAAGTCTTATTAATTCTTTTAACAAAAGAATCTTAAAAAAGATTCTTCCATAAAAATATTTAGCAGCACTACTGTGATATTATTAAGAAATATTTTTTTTTTTAAGTAGCACAGGTGTAGACTGGAGTAATGGCTGTTTACATGAATAAATGACTCTTTTTAAAAAAAATAAAGACACTGATTTTAAATTATATTTTGTATATTTTTATTTATTTTTGATTGAATAAATATAACATAAAAAATTTATTTTTCAAATTTATTGGCCTCAAGCTTTTTATGGTAGCATATATGCTACCATTTAGTTAAAAGCTACATTTGAAATTATGTTTGTAATGTATTCTACTCTTATTAAAGGAAATGAAGACTCAAGCAAGTTTGATGTCAAACATAAATTGGCAAACTTTTTTTTAGAGCTCTTATTACCATTGAGCTTTGCTCTTTGTTGTATGTTTTGGGGAAGTTAGATGCTTAAAATTTTGTGCAAATGAGTCAATGATCACAAAAATCTTAATTAATTTAGTTCCTGGCGTGAGCTTTTTACTCCGTAGACATTTGGTGTTGAACCTCTGCCGCACACAGTGAGCTGAACTCTGCTGGCCCTTACAGCGAGCGCTTCTCTCTCCTGTGTTCTTGATTTCAAAACAATCAGACTGGATTTCCTTTCAATCCCAAATAATCAAATTAGATTTCCCCCATCAAACGCAGGCCGACTGTGGGCTGGAACCTGAGCGCTGCACTGTGTGCTCTCCTAATTGACTTAATTTAGCCTCATCAGTTGACTAAATTCTCCATCTTAATTGCGGGGCATGAAATGGATGTGCGTTTTTGAGGTAGTACATGCACACTGGCATTCCGCACCTCTCCTGTCTAGTCAGCTGAATGGAGGAAGAAAAAAACCCTGTAATGACTTCCTTCCTGACTGGAAAGGGGGTAAGGGTCAGCGCAATAAAGCGGCTGCTCTCCTGTAATCATAGTGTAACATCCAGGGTTAAAAATGTAAATATTGAGCTTCCTTATCCTCGCTACAGGTTTGAAGTTACAGCGCTCATAACTCACTCCACAAATATGAGCTTTCGCTCTCAGATCTCACTGGGATTTGGAGTTTACAGAGATCCCCACATCAAATACGTATGACTTAATCTCTTCGGAACGACCACAGAATTTCAAGTTTTGACTATTCGTAATTCTGAAGGTGAAACAGAACCAATGACTCATTCTGTGGTAATATTAGCTTGAGCTTTCCGTTCCGCTTCATAAGTGAAGATTTACCTCACCAGGGTCGACAGAACTTCGTTTAATAAGATCTGCTAGGCTGTTATTTCGTCTTTTGACAGTAATAACAGGCCGGATGCTGAATTACAAAGAATTTGTTGTACGTTTTGAGGTTGACCTCTGTTGTGACCTTCCAGATCACGTGTATATTATTGTAAGATACTTCTCGTAGGGCGTCTTTTTTGTTTTTAGAGTATCGGCCCCTGACAGCAGCTGCGTTT